ACTGTCTGAAGGTAGCAGTACCCTCTGTCCTGGCTTGAATTCTTTTGAACTTACTCTACAATCACACTAATATTCTGATATTGCTGAGCTTGCTTTAAATGAGCTGCAGCTCTTTGAGCAATGAAAATCGAGTTAATGGCCTTTGGAGCAGTTTCCCAGCCCTCTTTCATCAAATCAAGGTTAGTCCCCAGGATGTCTGCCATAGAATAACTCAAAGGGAGAGAAATACACTGAAGCTGTGGGACCTCTCACAGCAAGTATCAGTGGTCCCAATAATTAGTGCCATTGCTAGGGGTAATCGCTTATGAACTTCCTCAACATCTCCTTAAGGGTTCTGTCAAAGCGTTCTACTAGGCCACTGACCTGGAGATGATACCTAAATGTCCACAGGGGTTTGATTTTTAAGGTCCTCTATGCCTGCAACTGCAAATGCAACTGCCACCAGCAACTCCTGCAGTAGCCATAGCATCTCACAGGGGAATGGCCTCCAGGCACTGTGTAGCATAGTCTATTATCACTAGGATACACATTCACCCCTTTGCTGACATTTCCAGTGATCCCACCATATATAAGCTTATCTGCTCAAACGGCTCACTGATAATGGTTAGCAGAATCAAGGGTCCAGAAGGACCTCTCTTTCCTTAGTTCTTCTGGCACTCTGGACACGAGAGGCAATACCTCCACACCTGAGGGCATATGCTGGGCCAATAAAATACATGTATTAATCTCTCTTTCTCCAAGCTAGTATACCATGGGGCAATTTCTACACTGAGGTCTGGAGAGGTTCTGGGATTACCAACTGTCAGCTCTGCCTGATGTTCCCCATCTGGCCCTATTTGATATAGTAAATCCTCATCTAGCTTAAAATATACCCTGCCCTCCTTCCTGGTTCTGCCCCCATTACTGGGTGGGTCTTTGCCAAAGCATGTGCCAATGTAGCAACATTTTATTTTAGGAAGATTAACTGAGACCGGGGTACCTGAAGCAAGTCAAGGGGGTTTTGACTTCATCCCCTAGAGAAAGACATGTTCAGAGTTGCCTTTACTAGTTCTTCAAAACAGGGACAATCCTTTCCTATTATTAAACCATAGTCTAACCCTAGTACAAAGTCAACCTTGCAAAAATGAATCTGCCTTCCTACTCCTATCTTGGCCCACCTAGTGGTATATAATTTTATATCCTCATGGATGCAGCATACATGCAATTGATCATCTAGTGGATCATCTCCCCCTTATTTCACTAAGGTGCAACCACAACCTGTGTCTATCCAAGCCTCTATCATTTTACCATCCATCCAGTCTTGTAAGCACCATACCTGTTTGGGAAGGGTCCTCTCCATACTGCCAACCAAGCCTTAGTGAAGGCACATCCCATGTGTGGACAGTCACACTAGAAATGTCCTTTCTTTCCACAGGTGAAACAGATCACAGACTGGCTAGCAGTCTCCATGTTTTGGCCCTGATTGGGGTAAGAAGTCAAATGTGCCACCCCTTGACCCATCCCCATAACATGCCCATGGCCTTTGCTGAAGTCTTGCCCCTTGCCAGTGTTTGGTAGTTCCCCATGCCACCCACTGTTCCGCTGCCCCTTGGTCATCTGGCTCCCCTGTGTCCACCCCTCAGCCCAAGCTTGTGCTTGCTGGACCCAGTCTTCTGGTTCCTCTGCTGCCACACAGGTCATTGAATTGCATCCCCTAGTATCTCATGCTTTTGACATCTAGCTCACTTCCTGGCTGCACTGGACATTAAGCTCTTGAAATGTTCCAGTAGGACCAGCTCAGCTCCTTGCTTCAAGGTGCAAGCTGCAGGCTTCTGCCACCTTAAGCCATTGGTTCATATTTTCTGGCCAGCCACACAGGAGTGAGATCCTTGGCCAAAGAACATGCCTCTCATCCTCCTACAATAGGTCTCCTCAATGCCATTTAAAATCCCTAAGATAGCAGCTTTCACCTTGTCATATTGCCCTGCTTCGTCAGGTATCTGCATATGTTCTGCTTCTTGCTCAGTTCCCATTAGACATGGGATTAATAGAGTCATCTTTGATATGCATAATGGAGCTATACCTCTTCCTCTCACTTCTGAGGCCGTGCCTGCTTTTGTTTCCCCACCAGGTATATGCAGTTCCCCCCCCCAAAAAAAAAAGTTTGTATTAAGGCACTCTGGTTTTGTGATTGTGCATTGAAAGACTGGGTCCATAAGGTACACCTACTAGTAAGCAAGTTGTTGTATTAGTCTCTGTTGCTCTTGCACGTATTGCCTTTGTCATTACATTAGCCACATCACCCTTGACTCTGAGTGGGAAAAGTAGGGGGTAGCTGAACCTACTCTGTGCCCTGCCCACCTTCACCAGTGTTAATGGAGCAGCAGGAAGGGGGATGCCAAAAGCTCCTTCCTCCCTTGTTTCCATACTGGGACTGCAGGCAAAAGGTGTTTGAAGGCTTCCCTTGATTACATCCACCAAAAGTCTATTTAAACTGCAACCAAAGAGAGAATTAATACTGCATAAACAATAACAGGATGGGCTGCACCCATCAAGCAAGGGATCTTCCCTCTAGAAAATTACTGTTGCCCCCAAGAACTTCTTAATGAATAGCCAGTGTTAAGCACAGGGCTGCTGGTTTCTTCCCCAGTAGTCCCTTGTGCTGACTTACTGCTAACGCACAACATAGGTCAAACCACAAGTCTTCCTTGCTCTCCAATACAGAACTAGCAGGAGAGCTAGCAAGTTGTTTATTTAGTCCAACCAAAGACTTGCCAATTAAGGGAGCAAGCAAAGGCTTTCTTTCTCTCTCTCCAGGATGCAGACTGAACCCTAGCCAAAAGCAGCACACATACCTGTTCCTGGTCTCTCCCAAGGCACTCCTCTTTCTTGTCCGCCCTTCCACATACCCTGGATTTCCCCCACCATGGTTGTGGCTTCTCCTGTACCTTTTTTTGCCCCCTCTCCTGTCCTTTTATCCTTCCCCTTTTCCCTCTGTTCCCCTTCAGGTATGGCTCATTCTAGTCAGGATAGCAAAAGGCAAGGAAGGCAAAGTGTGTGACATCACTGGCCTGAGGTGCCTCTCTCACTTGGCCTTTTCCTGTGCACTATGCTGGCTCCAGACTGCTGGCACCAGCCAAGAGGCTACATGCAATTCATTGGGTGTCTGGTAAAAGGCAGTGAGCCCCACTAACCCTTCACACATCTGCACATAAAATGTTTCAGTTTGGTTCAGAAAATGTTCTGATGTTCCAGAGCAGAGTGGAGCAAATTGTGGCCCTCTACATTTAAGGATTATCACACCCTGTGCTGGCTAGAGCTGATGGAAACCATAGGTCACTATATCTGGTGGATCATAAATTGATCAGTCTTGACATACAGAGATATAATTTAGTAGGTTTAACTTACTTTGATTTAGTTAACAAAGCTCCTACTACACAAATATTTTACCTAAAATTCCACAAATATTTTACCTAAAATATTTTACCTAAAATATTTGAGATGGAAAATTATGCTGTACTTAATTTAAGTCAAATGTTCTAATATGCCTTTTTGTTGGAATACTTGGAAAATTTTAAAGATATCAGTATTGACTTCCCTTACATTTAAGAGAATACAAAGGAGAATAAAGTTGCTGAAATTACCTTTACCAAAGAAATGTGCATGAAATGCAGACAACCACTCATCTATTTCAACCAAATTCAACATTCTTCCACTATGTTTGTTGGGGTATCTTAAAATTACCTGCCATTTTTAGTTCCATTTTACTCTGTGACACTATTTTATTTTATTTTATTTGAAAGCCTTTCCAATCACCAATGTTCTCTGAGTGGATTGCAAATAGTTAAAGTCTAAAATGTCATACAAACACTCAAAAATATAAAACATAATCCAAACATTTTTTAAAATATTAAACAACGAACAGCTATAAAAAAATTAAAAATGTATCTAAAATGCCTGGGAGAAGTGGTCTTCACCTGATAAAGAAAAGATAATACAGCCACCAGGGAAAATTCTTTGAGGAAGCTATTCTATAAATGAGATGTCTCTTTCTTGTAACATCCTCTTTCTTGCAGCCAACCTAGTCTCCTTCAGTGGGAGCACCCAGAGGAAGGTCTTCAAAGATGATCTAAGGGTCTGAGCAAATACATGTGAAAGACGTTCCTTTAGATACTCTGGATCAAAGCTATTTAGGACTAAAAAGATCAACATTTTGAAATGGATTTGGAAACAGACTAGAAGCCAGTGCAGCCAATGAACGGGCACCACATGATCTCTTCAGCCAATCCCAGTTAGTAACTTAACAGCTCTCTTTTGAAAAAAAAGTTTCTAAAATGTCTTCAAAGGTAGCCCCATGCATTGAAGTAATCCAAGTAGGAGGTTCCAAGAGCATGAAGAACTGTCACCAAGCTAACTCTGTACAGATGGGGTCACAGATGGTTTATCAACCTAAGCTTATAAAAAGCACTCTTGGCTACCTAGGCCTCAAAATGATAGATTCAAGAGCACCCAAAGTTGCGCCTGACCTTTCAGGGGGAATGCAATAGGATGAAAACTAATCAACTTGGCAGACAAACCATCATTCAACTGGGCAAACAATTTACCTGAAAAGTATTATATGTTTATCCACTAGCTAATCAGCTGAAAAACATTAATAGCAAATAGCAGTAACTGCCGAATTTGCCTAATATTGTATTTACAATAATACATACATTCATTTTTACTAATAAAGTTATAAAACATAAAAATTTCTGCAGATAAATTAAACACCGGAAACATTTCTACTTTACATCATTGCTTAATTTGCTTGGAAAAACACATTTACTTTCTCACAAACGATTCATATCCTTGCTCAGAAGGGTATGAAAAGTCCTTCATAAAATGGAATACACAGTACCTTCTGATACAAAATAGTTAAATTGTTTATTATTAACTATTAATAAATAGTTAATGTTCTACAGCACATTGTAGAACTCCCAACGTATTGAATATCAAAGCTATTAAAAATGGCACTTACTAACCTTCTCGTAAGTTGTGGTAAGAATCCTGACCCAATCCCACATTATTTCCTTCCTTCGATACAATCTCTGCAAATGGTACAATCCCACCATATGAGGGCTGAAGGGTTTTGGTTTTGTCCAACATGCTGGAAGAAATCCCACAAACAAAATGTCCCCTCAGGCCTAGGGACCACTGTTTAATCCTCAGAAAAGGGCCAGTATAGGTCTCTCGCAATGTCCTGTTGATCCCTTATTCTTGGGTGCCAGTTTGCAGCTTGAAGCTGAGCTCACGCTGGAGTCAAGCAAACACCAGAGGCAGACACATCTAGGAGAGCTGACATCCAAAAACCAAAACCAAAGAGCTTCAGGTAAAAAAAGATGTTTTATCAGTACTATGTTCAGACACAGAAAAGCTTTTCATCCTCTATGTGCATGCACATAGTAAGGGGCTAGAGAGATCTCAGCCTCGTTCTCCACAACTGTGCACACTGACAGATGGATAGATTCTTTCATGAAGCTACTTGCAGCAACAGCTAACCTCATTCACCCAAAATAGTAAGCAGTTGGTTTCGCTACTCAGACCTCAAACACTTGCCAAACAAACATCATCATATGATTTAGTTCCTGTCTTCTTTGTCTCCACCTCCAAAACTTCTACACAGTGTTTGCAAATATGAGAGATACTGCTCTGGATCAGCAGGTATAGAAACTCCATCCTACTTCCAGTTAAATTAAATTCTAGCATTTGGAGAAAAGGTACTAGGTGAAAGAGTAACATTAATTAAAGCCAAACTTACCTTAAACTTTCTCATCTATTTGTGAAATGCCATGGAAGGTGAAAAGCTTGGGTTTTAATAGTTAAATACTGTTAAATGTTATAGTAAATTAAGGCACTCTGTCAGGAAAACACTAATTATGATAATTAGAATGATCATCCATTTTATACAAGACAAATTAAGGACCTCCAGTTGCTTGATACTGTTCACTGTAGAACCAGAACTGCAAACACCAAAGGCAAATATCTATCCACCTCCTGGTATTTTTAATTCATTTGATAACACTTCTATGAAAATCAGTATGTCTTCCTCTTTCCTTCTATACATACGTTTTCTTTTTCTCTCTCATACTAGGGGTTTTTTTTTTCTTAATGTTGGGTATATTTTCAACTGTGCAAGAGTGTCATTGGGGCTGTCACAAAGTGACTTCAATAGGAACACAAGCTCATTCACTAAATGGCTGCCATAGTAGGTATGGTAACACTAAAAACATCTATTTCTCAGAAGGCAAGCTGGTGAGGCTCAGGGGCAAGGGCAATACGGAGTAAGCTCTGAGTCCTAAAACACAAAATCACTTTGAACTCAGATTTCTGCTCCAACTTAACTCCCATTTTAAGTAAAGCAAACTGGTGAGGCTGTGGCACACTCCACCTCTTGGCAGAGACCAGCCCACTTCTCCCTCTCTCAACTTACATAAATGATTTTTTATTATTTCTTATTTCTATTTATTTCTGAATAAACCTATACAGACTGTACTGCAGATCATACACACAAAAATTTCACAGACACAAATATATCTTCTCTCTAGTCTATACCTCTGCTCTGGGAATATAAAACAATGGGAATAATGAAAAGAGAGAGAAGAGGAAGAAAAAGGGGAAAGGAAAGGAAGAAAAAGAGGACTAAAGGAAGGAAGGAAGGTTTAAAGGAAAAAGAGGGAAATAGGCAACAGACAGTAATGGAAAGATGAAATAACAGAGTACAAGGCAATGCAGAAAAGAGAAAATAAAAACTAAAAGCAAGCTGTCATTCAGCATGCAAAGCAAAAAAGAAAATGGAATGCACACAGAATTTCTGACATCCATGCTGCTGTGTCTCAAAGCTTTCAAAAAGCCTTTACTGAGGCAACCTATGAGCTGCAGGGGGTGGCTCCATAAGGCCTCACCTTGACTTCTCCACTGCTGCTCTGGCCACCTGCTCAAGCCCCTCAGGCTGCTGTTACTTATTAAAGGGGCATTCCAAGCCACCAGCAGCTCTTTAATTGCAGACCAAACAAGGTGTTTACTGAATGCATAGAGCAATGCTATATATTCCATTTTTCAAAAATAAATTAGATGCTGTGGGGACAGTGAGAGAGAAATTGCTTCTCTGATTGCAGCATACAGATGGGATCTTTCTCCCCTGGCTGCAGACAGAATGAAAACTATCCCCGCCCCCCTTGTACACAGGAAGCAGAAAGGAAAAGCACTGACACACCCTGTTTTATGACTTTCTTTTTCCCAACCTCTCTAGGCTGTGCAAGCTTGCTTTGACAACTTTAGAAGAATAAACAAATATCCCACTGTTTAGGGTTAATACAGTGCTGCTACTTTTTTTTAAACCAGCCAGAGCACAAATAGCTGTATATGACTACAGACAGAATCACATGGCAAGAAGAAATAGGAAAACATTTTGCATAAAAACAAAGGATGGAGCAATTTCATCACCGCAATTTCAAATAGCCTTATGTCTATAGTTATAAGCAACAAAGTATGCATTGCTTTTAAATTTTAGACTAAAGTTCACTAAAATTCAAGACATACACAACTGACTGCACCCTGTTCACTGAGAAACATGAGGAAGTAAACTTTTATTATTTATTTTTTTAGAGACTAACTAACTTGGGGTACTCCCAGGAATCCACTTGTAGCCAGAATAAGTAAGGAGACTGAGTAAAATTTCTAAGTATGCAACACTATATAAGCTTGCCCACAGTGCACAGCTTATAGATTTATCCCTCCAGACAACTGACTGCAGCTGCTCAAGCAGTTCAGGAGTTTCCTAGTCATGATGGACAGGTGGCCAAAGAGAAACTTTAGTTGTAGTTCCTCTCAAGAGCCAGGGGAGTCAATCAGCCTGGGAATCTGGATCTCTGCCCAGTTGCTGAAAGGCTCTGTGGCAGTCCCTGCCCCCACAGCAGACCTCAGGCACACAGGATATTCGGGCACCCGCGCTTTTGGCAGTGTCTGTTAGTTCTCTATAAACTGAGTTTGAAATACCGTTGAACTGTAGATTCAAGAATAGCAGCTGCAGGCTGGAAAACCTATCAGATGATGTCAAAGAGCATTCAGAGCACTTTCCCCAACTCCACTCCTTCTCACTTCCTTTTCGATGTCACTCTTTCATTACCTCACAGATCTGAGTGTACTGCACTTTAAATCTTTCAGCTGCCAAAATGTACTCTAAACAATAAAAGTCAGATTACTGCTTCCCTTTCACTCAATATGAAACTCATCCAAGATTCAGCTCCACCCCTCTGGCAAAAAAATTCTACCACATATTTTATGAACCAAAATGTTTCTGCTGAGGCAGAACCCCTGCAGCAGATGATACAATGCTAATATAATTTGAATGCTCCATCTATATACAAGTTGGAGCTACCTCTAGCCTCTCTGAAATCTCAGTTGAATTATTTCCACAGCTGCCTAATTTCAACTGCTTTGATTTAGATAAAGAGCCCATATCCTCAAAAGAATAGCTAAAAGATCAAGCAATTAAAAAAAAAAAAAAGGTAGCTGCTAAAAAAATCCATAGTTTAGTACTCTACATCAGCACTGTAGTATTTGAAGCGTTCGTATTAAAAGTACATGTATCGGCTCCATAAATTTCCACCAATTGCTCATTAATTAGAGAAATGCACTTAGTAAAACATTCAGAAATCAAAATAAATGAACAACACCGAGCTTATGCAAAGTGTATGTGGGAATTATGCTGTCCTGAGACTTTTGTATAGGATGGGATAGAAATGCCTTAAACAAACAAACAAACGGTTTATTTTTCTCAGTGGCTGAACAGAAGGTTCTGATGTGAAAACTAGGCTGTGAACATACTTGGGACAGTGTGGAGAGATCTGAGCTGGGGTTCTTGGTGTGAACATGGTGAAAAAGTGGTAATTTAGTACATCAGAATCTCTAATAGATTTGTTTTGGTGTAAAGAGTGTGGGGGGGGAGAGGAAGTTTGTGTTAGGATTGACTCCCCAATGCACATTTACTGTAACAAAAGGGCTCCAAAAATCTAATTTGTGCACAGTCACCCTAATTTACAGTACCTTGTCTATTACCCAACTTTGAGCCATTTGGTGAGGAAACTATTAAGTAACATCCATCAGACCAACTTCATGAAAGAACATAGCTTGATAGAGTGAACAGGCAATCAGGGGACAGAGAAGGTGAGGAATCCCTCAAAAAGGAGTCCAGTTCTTCCCCCTAAATGGCCAGGAGGCCACACAGAAATGGCTGGGTCTCTGACCCCCCCCCATCCCATACACAGAGTGGGTGATGAAAAAGCTGATCCATTTAAAAGGTGTTACAGCAGGTCTCTAGACTTATTATAAGCAAGCAGCAGCAGTGTAGTAACAGAATAACAGTGTACCATAGTTCTTATTGCTCTATATAGACTATACAGGGTTCGTTATGCTCCAAATAGGAAGTGGACTCCTGCAAATAATGTGAAGGGTCAGGAGACCAAAGAGGGTTTAATCATATAGACAATGGACAGCACTGGTCCAGCAGGTATAAATAAAACCAATCTAGTACAGGTACATTGACTAGGTTTACATTTGTGCTGGTTGTAAGTTACCTACTAAGCATAATTACCTTGACCAGGCATGGGTTGGTAATTGGGATGGTTTCAGGGTGTTATATAAATCAAGGTGGCTTGTTTTCTTTCTGTGGAAGAAACTTTGGAAACCTGCACATGAAACTTGGTGCTTTTATCAACTTCCCACAAAAGCTTGAAAGGCACAAGGAAGTAAGGTCTGTCATAACAAAGCCGTAGGGCAGGAGTCCTTGAACTTTTTCAACAGGGGGCCAGTTGAAAGGTGCAGGCAGGGGGCATGGGACGGTGAGGGGGTGGGGGTGGGAGGCACATGAGGCAAGGTGAGGGCGGGCACAGGCACGGCACGGCAGGTACGCGTGGAGAGGCAACAGTTTGCTCGCATGGATATCATTTTCTCCAAGCGAGTCCAAAATGATCTTGGCGCAAGCAGGGTGCAGCGAGTCCAAACCTCTGAGGCGGGCCAAATAAATGGGCATGGCGGGCCAGATTCGGCCTGCCAGCCACAGTTTGAGGACCCATGCCCTAGGGAATCACAGGAAGAGCCCTAGGCGTCAACAATAGCCATTGCAGAATAAAACAATGGGGTTCAGCTATACTTTCCTATAACCACCTCAAATGTAAAAGAGGTTGACTGAGATCAGTGCTCAGTAAATAGGGTGCTGAGCCTGCAGTGTTCAAAGACTGACTGGGTACATATAACATGTTAAACCCTCGGGACCAGGTGTAACAAGGGTTCTGTGCCTCTTCCTTCCCCCCCACACCTGTACTATTCTAGGAGAAAGTGCTGGGACATTAACATGTCCAAGACATAGCAAGTCATTTAGCACTGGTCACAGCTTGATTTTTTTTAAAGAAGTGCCTCCATGTTATCCATGCTTCAAAAGTGAGAGCAAGCAAGGGCCTCATGAACATGCCCCTAAACACCAGAGGATTCTGCTACAAAGGGTGCTTTCTCCCCCTTGCCAACATTGTCTTAAAAAAAATACTGGGAAAAAAGCTAGCAGTGCTGCAATAGTGCAAATTTGGTATATATGTTCTGTCCATGCAGAAAGCAACAATGCCAAATTGCAACTTTTCAGAACACTACTATTTTAAGTACTTTGTAGAAAGTGGGGATATCTGCAGTATACCCTTTGCAGCAGAATCCACAAGGTGTTTTGCTTGCCCCAAGCTGCCTTCACTTTCTCAAGTGTAGATAACACAGGGATATCCTTTTTTTTTAAACTGTAAAACAGAGTTTTGAGGACATTCCCTCAGTTCTTCTAGTCCTCCAATCAGGGATCTCCAAGGTTTCTTGAGGGTGCTAAGAGGCCCTCACTATATCCAGTTCTACAATTTACCCTCAATAGATACCACTTCAGGAAGTGGCAAAATCTGAGTGAAATCCCAGCAGGGGGTGTGCAAGGCTTGTGATTTAAAGGTATAAGTCTGTCTCCATGCACAGGGGTATCCCCAAGTTTTAACTGTCTCCTGCCCACTGCTAGCAGGAAAGGGGAAGCCTTTCCCACCTGTCCCCAAGTGCTGCTTTGGCACTTTTTTGTACCCACTTTTTTGTAGCAGGTCACCCACTACCTGCTGACTACAATGACAAGCCTTTCTATTACTGGCTCTCCGATTAATTATTTTATTTATTGGCATTGATTGATTTTGTTGCCTGAGTTTAGTCAACACGGTAATCTACAATGGATTTATTAAACCCTAGCACAAAACATAGCTTATAAACCACCCTGTCAGACAAGTGCTGGATTTATACAACATGTTAAAAAACCACGGCTTAACATGTGCAAACCACATGTTTACACATGACTACAATGTGTCTTTTTCAAAAACTTAGGTTTTCCTGAACTAGCATCTGGACACTGATATGATCATGTCTTGGAAGCCTACAGTACCTGTCCTACTGGCAAGCAGCCTGCTAACAACTTCAGAATGGAAATGCAAAGAATTTTCATCAATCCCTAACTGAGGGAATACAGCACGTCATTTCAATAAAAGTTCAGATGCAACAGTAAATCAGAAATCAGTGTTCTGAATTATGGGCCCCAGACTCACATACTTATCTTGTTCTCACTAATCTTTATTGGCTTACATGTGATGCACTGAACTACTTTGACAAAATATGAAATATGAAATTGTCTTTGACAGACATGGGTTTGGAGACACAGACGGTAAAGTCTGCAATTATGAGATCTGTCATTTCTCTCCAACTTTTTAAATTGACAGATGCAGCACATCAGGCATGTCTTTAAAAGCAGGACAGGCCTGATTACAGCAAAATGCACTCTGCAGTGTACAATCTGGCATAACCAACTTCTTTTCAAACACAATACTGGGACAGTAGATGGTGCTCTAGATCTAAGAGAGTTGTATTCATTGTAGTACCAGAGATTTCAGGTAACACTATTTATAACAAATTAACTATATACATTTTTGTAAGGATGGCTGCAAGACAAAATTATAAAGGGGTTTTCAACTTTAAAAAGTCAACCTAGTAGCTACTAGCAGTTTCAGCTAAAAGCTGCTATGAGTCAGAAATGACAGTTCTC